AGAGAAGAGAAGCATGGCTCCCACTTCACTGCAGCGTGCAGATGGTGAGGTTCACACAGCAGGCAGTGGAGTGTGTAAATGTTAGGTCGTAGGTCTTCTGCAGCTCTGTCGTCCCAGTGAGAGCACTGTAGGTTGTAATTTTTCTATTATAACTTGCCCCGCAGTATTCTATTCATCAGAAATATTTTGCTTTGTCTTTCTTCAACTATGAATATAAAGAAAGGTGAAGGAAATGAAGTTTTCATTTGGGCCATTTAAGCTTTATTTCAGCTGCCTTCTACCTAGTCCGATAACACTAGCATGGACATAGCAGCCTCTGAAATACGTATGATCTCAGAGAAGTTAATTTCTCACTTGCTTAAAGATCTGACCATGGCGAGTAGTTCTGTTTGAAGCACTGACTCAAGAACTTAGGGAAATTCTGATATAATACTGGTCACTTTGAGACTATTTTCTCATTAGTACTGGTTGCATTGTCTTCCTCCCTGGTCTGCCAAGGCTCTTTTCTCTGTTGCTAAATCTTTTCAGGCTTGCGGAGTGCTCTGAAACGAACTCCTTCCATTTGTATTTGCTATTCTACCTCTCCTGCCACTTGGCCTGGGCAGTGATGTCTCCGAGGTTCGGGATTTGATTACACTGTATGAGAAAGTCATTTGTGGAACCGGTCAGTTGATGGCAGCCCACGTGTACATGTTTCTGGCATTTGGAGGTTACTGATTGAGTTAATCTTGAAGTCGCTCCAGGGGAGGTTCTTGTGATTTGACTCCATCGTTGTGCCCAGTGAGTTCTAACCCTGTTAACCTGCCATTTCACTCTGATGAGTCTAGTGCCTGGAATTACTGCCAAACAGTGGGCTCGGCAATGGCAGTGCAATGCTTCCATTGATCTTCAAGGCCTGAAATCTTGTCAGTGGTGGTAATAGTATCATTTATTTGGCTAGAGGTTTGTGCAGTATTTTATTAGCTGTCTGGCCACATTTTCCTTTGAGAACTGTGTGTATGTGTGTTCTGCATGGGTGTGCATGTATCTTCCCATGTGCATATGGAGGCCGGAGTCACCCTCCTGGAGGCGCACAGCCTACAGGCCTCATCTGGTAACATTATTTCTCTGGGATGTCTCTCTGAGATGTCTCTCTCACTGGGACCCAGGCCTTGCTGATTAGCCAAGGCTGGCTGGCTGGCCAGTGAGCCACAGGGGTGTGCCTACCCATCTCACCAGTACGAAATACCACACGAAGCTTTTTAGAATGTGGGTTTGACTTCTGCTTCTTCCTTATAAGCCAAGTGGTATAACCCAGTCTCTTCTGTCCCCCCTCCAGCTACAGTTTGGTGTACAATAATGTTTCTTAAGTTTCCAAGTGACATTTGGTATGTTATCTTAACCAAATTAGGTAAAAGGGAAGAGTTTATTGTTAAATCTTGACATTTAAAATTTTATTTTTATATATGTGGGTACCTGTAGCCAGACTTTGCTACTTTATGGGCTTTCCTTTCTTCCACCCTTTCAACCCTCAAACACTAGATGAGACACAAAAAGGGATAGAGAGGAAAGGAAAGAGATCCCTAAATAAAGTCGGGTCAGAAAGAGGACAGTGTTATCATTAGACTACTTCCTGCTGATTAGGACACCAAGCTTCTTGGAACAAATTTGATCTTTGCAGACAGGATATTAAATTTCTTCGTCTTGGTTGCTGTAGTTATTGTTTCTTTTCCACAAGACTACCTATCAAACCTTCAACACCACCAGCCAACCACAACTCCTCTGAATGACCAGCAACCACCACCAACAACCATCAAACACACCTATTAGAGCTCTAGCACTCTTGGACCCTTTGAAAACTCCCTAGGATTCCAAATGTCACACAATCACAGAAACTATCTGAAGCTGACAAAATCATGCCTATGCTAGAACACGAGACAGGTCATAGCAAACTGCTGCAAAGCAGCCTGACACCTGGAATTAAAACAAAAACATCTTCTCATAACACTTCTATTTTTGTTAATTAATTCAGTTTACATAAAGATGCTTCACCATACAGCTAGGACGTTTGCTTAACCATGTTCATCGCAGCACATTCATAACAGCTAGAAACTGGAAACAACCTAGATGTCCCTCAACCAAAGAATGGATGAAGAAACTGTGGTACATTTACACAATGGAATACTACTCAGCCATTAAAAACAAGGAAATCATGAAAATTTCAGGCAAATGCATGGAACTAGAAAAGATAATCCCAAGTGAGGTAACACAGACCCAGAAAGACACACATGGCATAGACTCACAAGTGGATTTTAGTCATATAGCAGAGGATAGACATACTACAATGCACAGACCCCAAGAAGGCAAGTCTGATGGGTATCTTAGGCTCCATAACTCTGTTTTTTAAAGAAACCAACATTTTAAAATTGTCACTACAGGTACCTGTGGAAGCCAGAAAGGGTCATTAGATTCCCCAGCTGGAGTTGGTGATTGTCAGCCACCTGACATGAATGCTGAAAACCAAATTTGGGAGAGCAGTAAGGGCTCTTAAATGCTGAGCTACTGCTCTAGCCTAAAGTAGGTCTTAACAGATCTTTTCTTTCTATAAGCTGTTTGTCCCTTGTAAGATTATTTTAGGTTGGAACATTTGTTTATTTCCTAAATTTCATATTTTTTTTCTGAGACATTTTAGTGTAAAAATCTCAGGTTTACTTCATTTAAAAGATCTTTTATTTTAGCTATGTGCATGTGCATGTGGGTGTGTTTGTACAGGAGCACAGGGACCACAGAGGCCAGAAAACGGCATTGGACTCCCTGGAGTTAGAGTCGGAGGTGGCTGTGAGGAGCCTGGTGTGAGTGCATGGACTGAGCTTTGGTCTGTAAGAGCCCTGTGTGAGCCTGACTATGAGCCATCTCCAGGCCCTCTACTCCATTGCTGTGGCTCTCTGTATGCACCATCTCTCTTCTCATGAAATACGAAAGCTTTCTGAGTAATGGAAATAACTACATCAGACAAAACTTATCTTCAGACAAGCCTAGGTGATCTACTGTCACTGTTTTCTAACTCTTTGGTTTTACGTATAGAAAAAAAATCTTACCCATCACTCAGAATACTTGTATCCACAAATTTAAAAATTTTCTGAGATGCTTCTGACAGTGATAATTTCTATTTCAATGTTTGTCCTAATATGTATCCATTTTCTTACAATTTTAACACATTAACCCTGTTTCACTTTTTATCATTTGCCTTTGTAAATTGAATTCTGTGGATCAGAATGGAGACTGTATTTTCCGACAATACACAGGGCACTCTGTGACACACACATGACCTTCTCTTGCAAATGGGATATACAGACTTTTAAGAATTAAGAGCAATGGCACCCATTAGAATGGCTAAGACTAAAAACTCAAGTGACAACACATGCTGGAGAGGATGTGGAGAAAGGGGAACCCTCCTCTACTGCTGGTGGGAATGTAAACTTGTACAACCACTTTGGAAATCAATCTGGCATTTTTCAGACAATTAGGAATAGTGCTACCTCAAGATCCAGTTATACCGCTCTTAGGCATATATCCAAACTATGCTCAAGTATACAACAAGGACATTTGTTTAACCATGTTTGTAGCAACTTTGTTTGTAATAGCCAGAATCTGTAAACAACCTAGATGTCCCTCAATTGAGAAATGGATACAGAAATTGTGGTACATTCACACATGGAATACTACTCAGCAATTAAAAACAAGGAAATCATGAAATTTGCAGGCAAATAGTGGTATCTAGAAAAGATAATCCCCAGTGAGGTATCTGAGAAGCAGAAAGACACACATGGTATATACTCACTTATAAGTGGATATTAGACATACAATATAGGATGAAATCTGTACACCTTAAGAAGCAAGCAAGAAGGAGGACCCTGGGTAAGATGCTCAGTCTTCATTCAGAAAGACAAATGGGATAGACATTGGAAGAAGGTGAAAACAAGGAACAAGACAGGAGCCTACTATAGAGGGCTTCTGAAAGACTCTACCTAGCAGGGTATTAAAGCAGATGCTGAGACTCATAGCCAAACTTTGGGCAAAGTGCAAGAAATCTTATGCAAGAAGGGGGAGATAGAAAGACCTGGAAGGGTGACAGGAGCTCCACAAGGAGAAAAACAGAACCCAAACAGGGGTCTTTTCTGAAACTGATACTCCAACCAAGGACCATTCATGGAAATAACTTAGAACCCTGCACAGAGGTAGCCTGTGGCAGCTCAGTCTCCAAATGGGTTCCCTAGTAAGGGGAACAGGAACTGTCTCTGACATGACTCAGTGGCTGGTTCTTTGATCACCTCCCCCTGAGGGGGGAGCAGCCTGACCAGACCACAGAGGAGGACAAGGCAGACAGTCCTGATGAGACCTGATAGGCTAGGGTCAGATGAAAGGGGAGGAGGACCTCCCCTATCAGTGGACTGGGGAAGGGCATGGAAGGAGATGAGGGAGGGCGGGATTGGGAGGGAGCAAGGGTGGGGCTACAAATGGGATACAACGTGAATAAGTTATAAATAAAATTATATTAAAAAAGAATTACGAGCGAGGCTGAGCCATCTGCATCTGATGACACTCTCTTTGTTCTTACTTATCATGTTTCTTGAGAAACTGTATTGTGTTCTAAGTGGAGCTGGCCATGGAATAAAGAATGGGTGGCTGGAAGCAAAGGGAAACCAGGCAGAACTTACTCATCATCTTTTACTGTCAGCCTGAAGTAGTTTCAGTGTGAACCAGAAGCACATTTATGAAATAAAACACAGCAAGCATAGTGCTCTAGCCTGTCCCCATGCCAGTATAATGGATAATCCCTAAGTAATAGTTCTTACATTAATGCCACTTTCCAAAGTGGTACCAGTTATCTTGGACTTTATTCATAAAAGAGCAAGGAGGCATTATACAATGGCTTATTCTAAAGGGTTTCCCGAGGTTAAAATAAAGATACATGAATTTCAGTTGCCAGTGTACACTGACTTCTAATATTCTCGTTCCAGGTCAGTTGCTCCGGTTAAAAATGTTTCGTGAGGACCACGGCTCATGGATGACAATGTTCTTCAGCACGATCCTGTTTCTCTTCATCTTCTCTCACATATATAACACGGTTCTTCTGATGGATGGGAACATGGGGTGAGTCACTGCCTGCCCACCCAGGCTGCTCTGAGTGGTGCCCAGGAAGTCCTCCGAACACACCCCACACTTCTTGTTGTTATACACCTGCTACTTAGCAGGCTCTGCGTTCTAAACGGGGTTGATATGTGTTCGCTTTACCTAAGAATATTAGGACATTTCTTCTTTTTAGGAAGAATGAGGCGTTTTGTAACACCTAGAGGACTCTGTGCTGAAGACTGACTTCTGTGCTTTGCTGTGAAATGAAAGAAATGAAGAAAGTTAGAAGAAAATATATCAATCCCTTTAATTTTTTTTTTTTTTTGGTATAGTTTGAAGGCACATACCAATTTTATTACAGCGAGAGAGTTCAGTGCTCATGATGCCTGGATTAATAAAGTCCTTTGGTACTGATAGCTTTTTGTTGTTGATTGTTCGAATGTGTAGTCCAGGCTGGTTTTGAACTCCTGAGTCATGTCTGGTGTGGTAGCATAAAACAAACAGGACTTTGTGCCGGTTTGGATAGAGATAAACTAGGTCCTGTTAAAGGCAGACAACTTGGATTCAATGCAGATGGAACACCACACTTAGCCCAGCACAACAGCAGGGGGATTTGTGTATTTTCTTTCAACTTTCCTCATTTCTTTAATTGCCCAGCGAAGTACAGAGGTCAGTCTTTCAGCACAGAGTCCTCTAGCTTTGCTATCCAGTGTGCTTTAACCAGAGAATGGTTTAAGTGGTTTGCTTTGCTGGAGACTTGTTTGGCTTATGATTTTAAGATGTTGACCAAGAACATGAACTAACAAAGTGCCACTGATGTGTTGGACACAGAGATAATAACGAGGGAAGGTGTTCCTCTACCCTTTTCACTAAATTAGAGCCACTCCAAGTCACAGGCTAGTTAGGATTTCCACGCATTTTCACAGTGTGAGGTGGTTTGGATGCCACACATAGACTTTGGCCACCACTGTTGAGGGCTGAAAGAGAAGCCCACCTAAAGTCCTGTTTCCTTCCATGTGGAAAGGGGCTGACTGGTAACGGAAAAGCACATGAGTCACAGTTTTTACTCTGTAGTAGCAAAATGCATGACTGATTTTAGATTGAATGTTCAGGCCTGAGGACACTATTAGAAACGCGTTGTCATGCTTGTTTCTTGTACCCAAACAATGCTAACATTAATAGGCTTCTCCGTGGTGATGGAGTTATAGGAACCACTTGGGTTTCTCAGAATACTCCTCAGCCTTGGATCCTGTGACAGCAGTGGGTAGTGAGAGCTTGGAGTTACCTAAGGCAACCAGAGGCCTCTCTGTAAGACTTTGTACTTTCAAAGCACTGGAAGGAGCCTGGTGTGATAACACAGGCCTGTAATTCTAGGCACCTGGGAGTCTGATGCTGGAGGGCCGTTTGTATTTTTATATGGTGCTAATAAGGTTAAGGATATAGAGGAAGATGGAGAGATACATTTAACGATAGTAAATTGAATACAGTAGCATGTAGTCCTGTGTACAAAGCAAAACACTCAGCAGCTAAACCAAAACAGTCCTACGGAGAGCGCACAGCCACTGAGAACCGTGATCAGGCATGAGTTGTCTCAGCTCACCTCACACTGAACCTGTGAAACAGGGCCTTCTATTGTCCGTTTTATGGATCAAGACACTGAGGACTGCCCAAAGTTGCATTCTAATTAGCTCCCCACTCAAAATAATAATAGGTGGTTGACCTATTAAGCAGTGAATTGAAAGGACTCATCACTAGCACTGGTCTCTGTTGGTCTTCTCCATAGTTTAATCTTTCAAGTTGACCTTGATAATCGAAAGAAGCAGGAGGCACGTGTAGCAGCTAAGTGATGGTTTTTTATTTATATGTAGTATCTTACCCAAGATCGTTACTCCCTTTTATTCGCAGATTGAATGCACTATTAGAGATTACGGACTATTATAGGATACTATAGAATATAAATGTTATAGAATGTTTGAACTCTTATGTAATTCTTGAACTCTTCTGTGATCTGTTTCACATTCGCTGGAAAAGAACCTTCTACTGGAAAGATGTCTTTAAAAATGCCATTTGAACAAATACACAGCAAGAAACAAATTGTTTTGGTTGTTTACTGCTTAAAAACATCAAACGGCTGTTTCTGAAGGGTGCACTGACAGCCGTTATCCTGTGACCAAGAGAGTGTTGCAAAGCCAGTTGTCAATCTGGTGCATAGGTCAGTTCCTAGAGAAAAGGACCTTGCTGTACATTTGGGTTCTCCAGGAGGCATGAGTGTCTGGGGCATTGGTTTGTTCTGTGTAGGGCAGGAAATGATGGTGAGAGGGTGTAGGAAGGACAGGGGGCATGTGGATCTCAGGGGTGACTGGAGGGTGCTGCTGACAGAGACCTCAGGCTTTACACTCACTCAGGTTTGCACAGAGGGCTCCCATCTGCCCAGGCTCAGTGATGCTTCTAGTAATGTTGGCCCAGACAAGTGGTACTCAATCTGTGGGGATCAACCTGTTTGGAGGTCAAATGACCCTTTCATAGGGGTCTCCTAAGACCATCAGAATAGACACATATTTATATTACAATTCATAACAGTAGCAAAATTACAGTTATAATGTAACAACAAAAACAATTTTATGGTTGGGGGTCACCAATTTTATGGTTGAAGAATTGTATTAAAGGGTTGCAGCATCAGGAAGTTTGAGAACCACTGGCCTAGACCCATTCCCAAAGTATTTCCTGAACTCAGAAAACCTAATATGGCCGCTAGACCTGTGTTCATATGTTTTGGGACTTTCTTTTCAGACTGGATGCTTCAGGACTAGGATATATGTTGGACATCTGTATAGTTTCAGAGATTAAAAATTAAAAAACAAAATAAAACAAACAACAACAACAACAAAACAAAACCCAAACTCAAACCAAAACAAAAGAAAAACCGAAAACAACCAAGCAGCCAAAAACCAAACCAAACCAAAAAAGTTGGGGAGGGTATTTGTTGCCTGGGCTGCTTTTAAAAAATTCCAATTCAGAATTGAGTATAAATTGAGTATGAACTGAGACCCATAATTCCTGAGTTCTAAGAATAAGCCCTGACCAGAGCTGACTTGACAAGAGGTAAATTGCCTGGCTCCTGTTTTCACCCTAACATTTTAGGTATCTTGGGGAATGAACATAGATTAGGGCAAAAGGCAAATGAGCTTTATGGACCAAAGGGGCAGAGATTCAGACTCTCACACTTCCTAGTAACTTGAAGAAAAATCCCATGCATTTTATTTTCTTTTTGCTCTCTTCACCTCATAGCACCAAAATGCTGCCATGGTGATCTCTTTTGTTCTTGAAGTCACTTTTTTTTCTTTTGTACCAAGATGACTGAAAGATAAACTGAGTCCCCTTTACATTATTGTTATAGGTTGTAGGTGAGGTTTCTAGGTGTTGCCTTTAGCATTTTATAAGCAGTTTCTTTTCCTACGGTGGGGTGGACCCAGGAACTTCTGCTATACAAGCCATAGAACAGTTAGAAAATACAATGGAGCCAGATGGACTTTAGGGGTGCATAACCAGGCTTGAGACAGGACAGAACTAGAGGGAAAATGCAGGAGGACCTGAATATCAAGACAGGAGGCCCATGGGCAGTGTGCTGGGCACTCAGGAACTTGAGTTTTCAGCCTTTGGCACACACCCAAATTGAGGATCTGGGCTCTGTGCTGGCTAGTTTTATGTCAACTTGACACAAGTTAGAGTTGTCTGAGAAGAGGGAACCCCACCTGAGGAAAATGTCTCCATAAAATCAAGCTGTAGGCAAGACTGTAGGGCATTTTAATTAGTGGTTGATGGGGGAGGGACCAGCCCATTACCGGTGGGGAGGGTCATCCTTGGGCTGGTCCTCCTCTGTTCTATATGAAAAGCAGGTTGAGCAAGCCAGGGTGAGCAAGCCAGTAAGCAGCACTCCTCCATGGCCTGTTTATCAGAAACCTGCTGTTTGAGTTTCTGCCTTGACTACCATCAATGATAAACTGTGATATGGTAGAAGAAGTGAAAGAAACACGTTATTTCTCAATTTGATTTTGGTCATGGTGTTTCATCACAGCAGTAGAAACCCAAACTAAGACAGGTTTAGGAGTGAGGGATTAGAAGTCCCATTGGTAGAAGATTCTGCACCGGGTAACAGAGAAAGAGTGGAATGCCGTGAGCTCAGTCAGTTCAGCCAGACAGTCATAAGGAGGCTGCCCAACCCAAATTGTGCTTTGTGGGACAAAGTTCTCCCAGAGAACTCATAGCCACGGTGTGGTTTGGGGTTTTAGTATAGCTTCTTTAAGAGTCTGAGTCCATGTTGTAACCCTGGTTATTTTCTTTGAACAATTCCAGATTGTTACTTCTCGGGAGGCGCTCGGCGTCTTGCAGAGCTCCCAGTTTGCTGTGCAGAGCAATTCCATTCCCTGTTGCCTCCACTTCCACCTACATTGACTTACCTGAACTTTTCTTTTGAACCAAAATTGTACTAATGTATTTTTTTTTTTAAATCAAAATGACCAATGCTTCTAAGGATGCTGCCTGGCCAGCAGGAGAGGGCGGGGCTGAAGTCACTACAGTGAGGTTTTGCTTTAGCATAGTAGGTGCACATTTTCTGCAGTTGGCCTAGTTATCACTTAGGAGAGAAAAAGAGAGACACTCGAAGAAATAGGATCAAAGCACCCATTTGCACCGGAAGGAGAGTGAGAGTTTGCAGCCACAGCACAAAGGCGTGCATTGTACTGAAGAAGAGTATATTTACACACAGGACCAAACACCCCAGAAAGCAAGGCCTAGGACAAGAACTGGAAGCCATTTTTTCCCACAGTGTTGGGACTGATTTAGTCAAAACTTATTCTTTTAAACCCTCCAATTCCACTGGGGGGTCTTAAAGCCTGTCTGCTTAGGTCTAGGGTTAGGGTTTGGAGCTCTTTATTTGGGAGGAATGAAAAGAGCTGTGCTCCAAAGTTCAGCCGCTATCTTACTGATTAGAAAACTGAGCTGGTCACAAAAGACTGGAAGGA